GCTCGGGGGAGCGCGGCCGGCCGGTCGGAGCTGCCCCCGCCCGAGAGAGAGGGGAAAAGAAATCCTCAATGAAATATATATTTAAATGCAAAACGGCTCGTTCAAACAGGGACCCATTATGCCTTTGGTGTGAAACGCTATCAACATTTAAAACTTCATTGTCTCCTTTGTACCAAATGCCTGTAAATCTTCCACTAGCCTTTACTCATTTTCATCTGAAAAGCCTGTTTGGGCTGAATAGACAGCAATCAGCAGCCTCTGGACTTCTCTCTCTCTCCCTGGAATGTCAATTAAAATGCAGATTTTTTTTTTTTTCTTCCTCCCCTGATCTCTTAGTAGCAAAAGACTTGAGAAAAGCGGGATAGTCCTGGAAAGCAAATGAAAGAAGTTCAAACAATGAAAAAGTACTGAAGCTGCCAGCCGGTTCCCATTAGTCCTCCAGAATTAATGTTTAATAGTTGTGATGCTCAGATTTGCTTGGAGATTGAACTATGATGAAGTCTTGTTAGATGTGTGTGTATATATATATATTTATAGACGCATATATATTTGTGTGTGTGTATGCGTATACAAAGCTGTTAGCTTAAAAGCTTCACCTACCTGGATTTTTCTAATGAAGCTACCGGGCTTTCAGGGCGCTTGAGATTTCTTTGTAGAGGGAAGATCCGTATTTCACTCGGATTTTGCTATTCCCTGCCTAATAGAGAAGGATGCTGAAGAGTTATACAACGAGTGATGTATTGATTTGGTTAACATACCCTACAAATTGTGCTCTCTCTGGGGAGTGATAAACATCTTATAAACAACAATGGAAGTAGATTAAAAAGAACACTGAGCGTTGAATTTAATTAATGCCACTGCTGAACAAGTACTACTTGTTTGTGTGTGTGAGTGTGTTTAAACTGAAGTACAGCTTGGAGGAATTTGGTTGGGCTCCCAAACCAGTCTGCTTTCCCATGCTTGTCAGTTTGGCAAAGAAATTTGGGCAGGTATGTGACGAGGTGAAAATTGACTTGATGAGCGAGTGGCAAGGAGAGCCATCAATCATTGGAGCCTGACAACTCCTCCCCGAAGTGTAGGCTGAGAAGAGAGACAGAGTTCCCTTTCAAGGGGAAAAATAAACACTACGTGTGGCTTTCACTGAGTCTGAGACTCCAGGAGGGATTATGGTATTGTAGTCAGGAAGCCAGAATTGTGGAGGCCAAAAAGCATGCTGGGGCTGTGTTCCAAACATTGAGATAGGGGTACATAATTATCCAGCACAGGAGGTCTTTCCAGAGACTTGTCCCCCAGCAACTGTGGCGATTAAACTATGAAAAGAATTTGGTTTCGTTTCATCTTCCTTGGACTCCGCTTCTTTTGGGAAAGGGCAATCCTCGAACCCTGGTCGCTGTCGTGGTGGTAAAAAGTGGTTTGGCTCCGCGGATGGCTCCAGAGCTCTGATGTTAGCTCTGCTACGCCTTTGCAAGCCACGGTCTTTAATTTTCTGTTGCCCTGTGGATGAAGAGTCCCTTCTTTCTGCGGCAGATGTTCAGGTGCAGAAGCTGGCAAAAGCCTTCAGGTGAGAAGACGCGTGGTCAAGTAACCTTGTGCTGCGCTTCAGGACTGGGGATGAGGATAGGAACAACAAGCGTGCTTTCAGTGGCCTTTACTGTAGCCTAAAAATCTGAAACGGCTGAATTGTGAGTGGGATTAATGCTGTTAGAGTCTGGAATATAGGCTAGTGTTATGGTATGTTTTCTTTTTGCAAAGCTATGGTTAAATTTTGCATTTATATACATAGCCTTTAATTGGGCTTTACAGGATCATTGATGGAAATGAAGGTAGCATTACATCCAGTCTGTGAATTAGGGTTTCTGCCCGTTCTACAGCTGGATAAACTGAGCTACAGAGCTGTGGCTGGCAGACCACGAGTCGGGAGGTTGAGCTGGGTGGTGGCGGCAAGGAGGGCTTGCTCCGGTCCTTCACCAGACACAAACCCGTTTGGGAGACAGAGCTCTCTTCAGTTCTGCACCTGCGCTGCGCTTGTTTGGAGAAGCGCTCGGCGAGCTCTTTGCAGATGTTTATGCAGTGGGCTGGTGGTGGTTTCACTGGAGATTTAATAGTAGTTGCTAGCTTGTGGTCCAGGATGCCGGTGCTATGCTTAAATCTCTAAATGAGGGACAGAGCTTTGAACTGATATCAGCTGGGGTGAAGAAGGCTTGCCCTGAAGTATCGGGGATTCACCTGAAGTACTGTGTATTAATTATTTTCCACAGGTGCTTTATTTATGTCATCTAAAATCTGTTCCTACTGACTCCAGAAGTTACTGTATATGGTAGCCAAGGTAGAAGATGCCTCAACAGCATTTCTGTCCTTAGCACTGTGAACTTGGCTTGCGTGTAGCAGGTAGCAAAAGGCTAATAAAATCTGAATAAGCTTTTTGATGGTTGGCTTTGTAAAGGGAGAATATTTGTCCGTGTTTCTGTGTACTGTGTGCTGAGGTACCATACCACGTCCAAATGACAGGGAGTTTTGAGAAGTTTGCCTTTATCTCTACAGTTGCTGCCTTTTTTTTTAAAGGTGAGGGCAGGAGGGAAAAAGAGGTTTTATGTTATTTTTCCCTTCAAGGCATGTGCTCTCTAAGCTTCAGTTGGGTTTCATCACATCCAAGATGAATTATTGGCCAGATTAGAACAACTGCTGCAGTTAGTTGTTTCATCCCTTTACTGAGGTTTACCATCTTTTATTTTTGAAGCGGAAAATCAGGTCTAATTTTCTGGTTGAGCTGTTAAATCGCCCTGTGAGGATGCTCTTCTGACCCTCACCTGGCTTCTTAGTGTGGTGGCAACAGGGTCCCCTGAAGGGAATGCCAATTACTTTGGTACCGCTTCTCTTCTCTCTTCCATCAGCCCATGCCTGGATTACCAGTCAACTCCATCCGTTTGAATTAGTTTTACTGTGAATAAGATAAGACTTTTATTTTTTCCCGTCTGAAAGATCTATCTCAATAAGCATCGTTGAAGGAGCGATTGAGAACCGAAACGTGTGTGCACGTGGGAGCGTGCTGTGCAGTTTAGCACGTATGAGCGGAGAGCGATGCTGGGGAGGTCTGCTCTGGAACTGCAACCTGTACTACACTTTACACAGATTTTAACTGCCTGTAATGCAGCGTAGCTAACCAGCATCCCTGTAAAGACTGGAGCCTTTCACCTGTACAGGACTCTCAGGCTTTGAAAGGACGCTGAGCCGAGGTAGAAGAAGGTACTTCCATAGGGGAGCTGGAAGTCCTGAGATGAAATAGTGTCTTATGGACTATCCAAGTCTAAGGAGTATTTTTCAGCTGTTTTTCTTGTGGAAAATTACTGAATTCTTGCAAATTCAGCTGGCTGCAGAACTGCCTAGGTGAAGGAATGAAAAACAAGGCAAACTTACATAAACCTTCAAACAATAACAAGAATATAATTTGTATAATTGTGGTAATTTTGCAGCATTGCAGGTTATATGCCTGCACATGTGTGTGCTTCTCGTTTTTTAAAAACTGTATATTTTTCTGTCAGTAAAGTAGCTCTCTAAATATGTGCTGAGAAGTGATTTTGTGAAAACAAGGAGGACTTGGTTACGCCTCAGGTGATGATGGAAACTGCTAACAGAAAATGAAAAGTCACTCACTTTTCACATATTCTTGAAGCTGGAACACTATTTTCCCCATCCTCCTCCTTTCCCCCCCCCCCTCACCTTAGCTCTGTTCGGGGCTTTGTGAAGTTTTTTGGTTTGCTGTTTAAGATGGTTTCGCTAACAGTGTTAAATCTCTCTCCTCCCCGCAGCAGCAGCCGTCATTCCAAGGGAGGAGGTATTACCCTGGCCGAAGGCACTACTTTTCTCTCCATGCTTCTCTAGAGGTGTTCAGATGGGATTAAAGTCCACATGGAGATATGGAAATGGACCAGGAATTTACTCTAAAAAGATGGTCAGCTGGGATTCGGGTTGCCTTATCTGCCTGGTGGTGGTCACCATGGCTGGACTTTCCCTGGCTCGACCTTCGTTCAATTTAGTTGTTGAAGACGCGACGCTGGAACCTGAAGGTAAATCACTCTAGAATCCTTAGTTCTGCAAAATAAGTTAAGTTTAAATGCCTGAACGTCTGAAATAGAAGTCAACATCTTTATGTGCTTTGGTAAATCTAAGGCAAGTAACAGGTTAGCCCTCAAGAGTTATGTTTTTTGACTTTTCTTGCTCACACGTGGGCTGTGTTCATACAAGCACGCGTTTATTTAATCTTATGCAAGCAAGTGGTGTCAGTGATTTCACTTGGGACTGTCATCATGTTGTATAATGAAAGCGTACGGCTGAAAGTTTTGAGGAACGGGACTTTAAAGGAAACAGTCTATTGCACCTACGCGTGTTGCATGTTGCTATCTCGAGATGTGAAATGGCTGTATAGCTGCATGTCTTTGCGAGTCTCTTAACCCGAGAAGTTCAGAGAAGAAGAAATCCCAATAGTTTCTAATGGTGTGGCCTGGATGTTTAGTTTTGCCAGGCACTCTGCAAAAATGGTGGTGCAGCTTTATTGGTGTTTGTACTTAGAGTATATTTCCCTATTGCTGTTAATATCCGAGGGCAATCGGTACAGTGTCTGGACTGCAAGGTCTGGAAGTGTAAATGTTGAGATCCGAATAGCAAGGAGTGCAGTTTGTTACTGTGAAAGCAAAGGCTAATTGAAACCTTTACATTGGAAGAGATGTTTTGATAAAATCTCCTATTCTGAGCCTGCACCTGTTGGTATGTTCCTGCAGGTGTATCTGTTCCTCAAGCTTTGCAAAGTGGTGTTCTTCCCTAAAGAGTGAAGGAGAGGCTCGTTATTGTCATGAGCTGGTTGTTTTTAAGAATGATTTTATGGTATTGTGTAGGATCTTTCCTGCTCTCCGAGCACCTTAGGGGGAGAATGAGGCTTCCTTCTTAAGGTTTTATCTGTCCTTTAGAGGAGCGATTACATTTCTAATAACTCAACTGTCAAACCAATATAATGGTCCATAGAGCGTTTCTGCTGCGGCAAGCTTGCTGCAGAGAATTTGGCCTTTACGCATTCTACTACTCATGTCCACGGACACAGCTTTGTCTTTATTTAATACATTTTCATGCAAAACTTATTTGTTTCTATCCACTACCTCTAAAAATAGACGTCACCAGCTAACACATTTTTAGAATCTGTTCCAAGTACATTTTTATTGATGGCAGGGGATGAACTATTTCGGGACGACGAGCCCTCCTCCCTAGCAAGCATTCCTGAAAAAAAATTAACAAAGTATAGCAATATTGTCATCTGTCAGCCATAGAGATTGTTGATAGTAAAGATTTTTGTTTTTTTTCTTTTGAAGGTAACTCGAGAATTAAAAAAGAAAAGCCCACCTCTCATCACCACTTACTGTGTGATTTGTTAATTGCACATCTGGTGCCTTTTTGGCTTTTCAGAGGAATGATAAAATAATGAATAATTCTGGTTTCAGATTAGCTGTTTGTAGTGAGGTCCCCTAGTTTTGGGGTTAAATGAGAAAGAATGTGGTTGCATGATTGGTGGAGTATTTTACAGGGAGAAGAGTAATATTTTTTTTTTGAAGGATGCCTGATAATTTTTCAGTTTTTCAGGGAAAGAATAGCTTTTATTATTTTTAAAAAATACAGTTTAAAAATATGTTGCTTCCTCAGTGAATACCCAGGGGGTGGAATCTGGCTTTTATCAAAGTGTAAATTGTTAAAAAGGATTTAAAACTTCTTCCCTGGGCAGGAATGTTACTGACATGCAACAATTTTAGACGTGAGAACCTGAATCGTTACCAGAAAGGAGAAAAAACCCACACTTCTAAGTTAATGGTATAAGAAGAGCTTTTATGCTGCAGAATACAGGGAATTGTGTAGGATTTATATCTTAGATTTGGGAGATAAAACCTTCTTTATGTACTTCCTTAAACCTATTTTTTAAAAAAAAAACCCAACTCTTTTAACACAACCACCTTCTCTGGGTTCCATCACTGCCACCCACAAGCTTTCTCAGCTGAAAACAAAACAAAAAACCCTTCAAAAAAAAACCTCTTCAAAAACAAAGCAGACTTCTTTTTTTAATTTAGTAAATGCCAAACATTTTGGCTACAGCTAATTTGGGGGGTCAGGTGCTGTAATAATGTAAATTTTTGGTAGGGCTGCTGACTCTGCAGTCATTAGAGCTCTGACATTTCATACCAGCTGAGAAGGTCGACAGGGCCATGACCTTTTGTGACACATGTTGATCTGTTCCTTAGTCTTCCTTCATGGACATGCCATAAATTTTGTCTTTTTTTGACGTTCGGTGCTTTTTTGTTACTGTTTATTGTCTTAGTGACTCAGAATATTAAAAAAGCTGTATGCACCCTTAACAGGAATTGAGATTGTGGCTTTTCGTTCCTTTGATTGTAATGGAGAATATACTCTTGTCTCATGTTGATCTGTTCCTTAGTCTTCCTTCATGGACATGCCCTAAATTTTGTCTTTTTTTGACGTTCGGTGTTTTTTTTGTTACTATTTATTGTCTTAGTGACTCAGAATATTAAAAAAGCTGTATGCACCCTTAACAGGAATTGAGATTGTGGCTTTTCGTTCCTTTGATTGTAATGGAGAATATACTCTTGTCTCGTAGCTAATCGTAACTTCAGGGACACTTCTCATAATTTTCTTCAGAGTATCGGGTTAAGTACGTACTTTAGCACAAGCAACATATGTGCAGGATACGTGCAAGACGTTGTTAGGCATCAAGGTACTTTACTTCTAGCTGTCTGCAGTCAATCTGCTCTCTTTGGTAGCACGCTTCTCCTGGGTGCTTTTAAGAAACGCTGGACTCTTTGAGCTCTGAATCTCATCCGTGACCATTAGATATTACTCTGGTACGTATGAAAGCATTTACACTGAAGAATGGTATCTTGAGGCATTGTAAATTATGAAGTCAATGTTGATGTCATGGGTGCTGGCGAAGGGCTGGATCTTGAGCATGGTCGTTACTGGTTGTGGTGCTTTCTTCCTTAACCAGTGACGGCAAAATCTGAGGCTGTTAAGCAGTGTGAGCGGGAGCAGGACCTGTGGGAGTTAGTCTGGGGACTGTCAACCATCAAATTATATCTTACATCAAGTGTTTACGTATATGTTTTATATCCTAGGGAGTATAAAGACTTTCTGCCTTTAAATATTTAGGAATAAGTCTACCGCAGTGTGTACAAAGGGGCCATTCTCTTTCTGTGTACCCAGGCCATGAAGGCCTTTGATGATAGCCAATGTTTCGAAAGGGCTCTGACCGCACACATAGGTTTGAAGGGTTATTTTGTGAACTGAATAATTAGTTTAGACATATATTTGATAAATAGCAAGCTCTCCCTTGACCTTCCCTTGCCCAAGCTGTGTGTTATCGTTCTGCTGGGTAGCTAATTTAGTCTCTTCCCCACATGCAGTGTGTTGACGCTGTCCTTGGAGCACCCACTCGGAGCCCTCGCCTGGTGCAGGCACAGTGTGTTTCAGTTCTTTTAATTTAGGTCAAATTTCAAAGGACTAATTTAAGCTTTCCACAAGGGACAGCCTACTTCTGAGTCCTGTGAAAAACACGGTAGTTCAAAATGGCCTTAAATGTGCGTTTGGGAGGTTCCCAGGGGCAGCAGTGAAGGGGAGAGACTTTCTGTAATGGGTGACGTGTCCTTACGGTGGGCTCTGAAGCGAGTAACGAGTTCTTGTTTGGGTTTTAACTGGTCGCAGCTATTTGCTGGCGCTAAACAACATACAAACATAAACAAGTTCACTACCCAGAGCAATACCTTCCTCTTTGTAAAAATGTTGCATAATATGAGCAATATACCTTCATTTTTGTAAAAATGATGCAAGTGCTTAAAGGTTGACGTCACCTCTGGTCACAAGGTTAATGTCACCTGTGGGCACAGTGGTTAGCACAGTCCATTTGGAGATCCTTCGTTAGCCGCCACGACCCTCCTGGATCAGGCTGTGGGGTCTTGAGGTGCTTCTCAGGCTCCCAGGGAGTGGCAGGGCTGCAGCATGTGGAGGAGGGATGCTGCGGTGGTGGGATGTCCCCTGTCCCACAGGGAGCCGTGTGCTCCCCATCTTGGGGTGCCCCCATGGGTCCTTTCCATGCTGGTGGGACCCCACACAGTGGCCGTTGTCCCGGGGCAGAGGCGGTGGAGAAGCACCAGGATGCTGCTTCCAATTTGGTAGGAAAAATAAAGCAAAAAGTTCACCCAGGGTTCCCTTGTTACCTTTTTTTAACAAGAGCCATGGCTTTGATATCTGCAAGTTATGATTAACAATTCAAACTGATTAGTTAAATCAGAGTTTGTGTTTTTTTTTTTTTAAGGTAAGGCAATTATCACAGCCCATTATGGAGGAATGTGACATCCCCACAGTTCAGGGTGAGGGCTGGATGCCCTTTCAGAGATGCGGTTCAGTAAGTTATTTGGCCCAGTACAGGAATTGCTAGCTGAGATTCTGGGGAATTTTACAAGCAGCCGGATTAAATCAGTCTTAATGTGTCCATTCTGCGTTTAAAATCCTCAGTCCTTTAGCAGGGGCATGGTCTTGAGCTGTAGATTAATTGGGTATGGGTAGGGTTGTGATTTACAGTCGGTGTTGATGAGACACCGGGAGTTGGTAATGTGTCAGCGTGGCAACTATTTTGTAAAGTAGCACAACTAATGGCACGTTTCAGGCTTATCTGCTATATTTTACAATTGCAGCTTTTTGAAGAAAAAAAAAGTTAGCTTTTAGGAATTTGATTCCTTTCCTGATTTTTATTTTTGGAGCCAGGAGATTTTCAAAGATGCTGAGTTGTGAGGGTTTTTAATTTTATTTTACTTTTAAACCACTTGTATAGATAAAACCCCAAAGCAGGCACCGATTCCAATGGATGCATAGTTTTCTAATCTTAAAATAGTTCTTCCTTGGCAGAGAACTTGCAACGAATTTCAGGCTATAGTAACTTTTTTTACAGGCAAGTTACAAACCTTTGCAAGCAGAATTTACAATGAAAATGCTGACAACTCCAGTTATGCAAGGTTGTGTG